ATCCAGAGACTAAGTAAAGTAATGTGTCAGTCAGAAGAGGAATCCTCATTTAAAAAGTCTGTGCCACAGATAGACCTTGAGGACACTATTCCATGCACCACTTCAGTCCAGGCAACAGATTATCCACTCAAAACCCGACCAGAGCCAAAACAAACTCTGCAGGAGGTAACATTGAGGAGGGAGTTTAAAATCTCTGGGCAGATTGGAGAGAGTGGGCAGAAGGATAAGCTGTCCTACCTCAGTTTAGTACGCCAGATCGAAAATGGGATTGAAAAAGGACACTCAGAGGTTGAAGTAGTTGAAGCAGTAATTAGGGCCATCAGTCCAGGAATGCCCCTAAGAGACATGTTGGAGATAAAACGTGGGTTAACCCTTAGCAAACTGCTCACCATACTAAAGGGACACTACAGGGTCGATAGCCCCACTGAACTTTACCATCAGCTTCTCAATATCTCCCAAGAACCCAAAGAAACTGCCCTAAATTTTGTATTTCGTGCTATCGAGCTCAAAGAAAAACTTCTATGGAAAGCAGCAAATGAGGAGACCGATGAACTGTACAGCAGGACCACAATTCAGCGTAAGTTTCTCCGCTCCATTGAAACTGGGCTACTCAGTGACTCCATTAAGTATCAGTTGCTGCCTCTCCTAAGTAATATGACCATAACAGATGAAGAACTGATTGAGAAAGTTAACGAAGCTTCAAAGCTAGAAAATGAAAGATTGGAGAAACGAAGAAGGTCCACTGCAGTCAAGATTCCCAAGGTACAAGAGCTCCAAACAGCGTGCCAGACAGCCCTGACACCTGTTCAAAGCCACCCGAAACCCAAAGAATCCCCCATTACAGTGGCTGTGAAAACAGTTAAAAATAAAGAGACTAAAACAGACCCACAGCAGATCATAGAAGAACTTCGCAAAGAAATGAAAGAGATGTTTGTGGCTGCTATGGAAACCAGTCCCCACACCATGGCACCAAAACAAAGACAAAAAGGCTGTAAGAAGTGCAGAGAAGAGGGAAAAGGAGACAATTGTATGCACTGTTTCAAATGTGGGCGGGAGGGCCACTACTCTCGTGGATGCCGAGCACCGAGACCGTTGATGGGAAACGAGGAAGGGCTACTGAGGTGGGACCAGCAGTAGTCCAGGATCCACGGTCCCATAAAGAGCAGCCAAGCCCACCACCATCCTCCAATGAAATGCCAGTTGCTGCCTTATCAGCTGTAACTGAAGTTCGTTATCTACCCCCTCAACACAAGTCAAGGTTAGTAAGCCTGGTGGGAAACCGCTGTACTGTTAACTGTTTTATGGACAACCATCCAGTCAAAGTATTGTGGGATTCAGGGGCACAGTCCAGCATTGTAAATGAAAACTGGCGGCAGAACCACCTTCCCCACACAGTTGTCAGACCTGTGTCAGAACTGTTAGAGAATGAGACGCTCACAGTGTTTGCTGCAAATGACACAACCATCCCCTACACTGGCTGGATAGAAGTCAGCTTCAGACTAGACAGTGATTGTTTCCCAACCAGTGAGTTGCAAGTGCCAATATTGGTAGCCAGTGACCCAGCCGTGGCCAGTGATCCCATCATCGGCTACAATGTTATTGAGGCGGTTGTCAACAGAAAAGAAGTAAAGACCAAAGGTGGAAGAAAACAACTTGCCCACTATGTAAGTAAAGCATTTGAAATAACTGTACAAACTGCACATAATGTTGTCAGACTGGTGCAGAACAGCAAAAAAGACTCAGAGGCAGGTGTGGTAAGGACTGGAGTGAAGAGAGTGCCTTTGAGAGCAAACCAAGTTACCACAGTTTATGCCCGGGCACATGTTAGTCCACATGCTCTGGGTCAAGACATGCTCTTTTTAGCTGACATGGTTGACTCACCACCAGAGGGCGTCATGTTCAGTGACGTACTGGTGCAAATTCCAGACAGAAAAGTGCCATATGTGCCCATCCCAGTGACTAACACCACAGAACACACCATTTATCTAATGAGTCGTAAAGTGATTGGACGTCTTGAACCAATAAAGACTGTATATGCAGCAGACATCCAGACAAAAGTAAATGAGTGGACACAAGAGGAAAAACAGAGTTCAAAGTTAAAGTCACACATCCCGAATAACACACAGACAACATTCAACAGAGACCAAAGTCATGGGATCCACCAGTGGATCTGCAGCACTTGACAGAAAGTCAACAAACAGCTGTGAAGATGATGTTGCGGGAAGAATGTGAGGCATTTGCATACGACCGTGATGATGTGGGCTGCATCCCTTCCCTGAAAATGCATATAACCCTTCATGACAAAAGTCCTGTAAAGAAAACCTACATGTCAGTCCCAAAACCTCTCCACAATGAAGTGAAAGAGTATCTGCAGGATCTACTTAACAAAGGCTGGATCACACCATCAAGGTCTCCCTACTCATCACCTGTGGTGTGTGTCCGTAAGAAGGATGGTACTCTTCGGCTTTGTTGTGACTTCAGAGAGCTCAACCGCAAGTCAGTTCCGGACCGTCATCCAATACCAAAAATTCAGGACATGCTGGATGCACTGGGTGGGAGCTCCTGGTTTTCAGTGTTAGACCAAGGCAAGGCGTACCACCAGGGTTTTTTGGATGATGAGAGCCGCCCCTTAACCGCCTTCATCACACCCTGGGGGCTCTACCAATGGGTGCGCATTCCCTTTGGCCTGAGCTCCGCACCCGCTGAGTTCCAGAGGAGCATGGAACATTGCATGGCAGGTCTCAGAGACACTATTTGCCTTCCGTACCTGGACGACAACCTTGTGCACAGCAGCAATTTTGAAGAACACCTAGAGCACATCCGCCTTGTCCTCCAGCGTTACAGGGAGCATGGTGTTAAGCTGACTCCAAAGAAATGTGACCTGTTCAGGAGAAGTGTCAAGTTTTTGGGCAAGCTAGTTACAGGCCAAGGTTACACAATGGACCCAGCAGAGCTGGCCCCGGTGATGGCCTTAAGGGAAAAAACACCTGCAACCGTCGGAGAGGTACGTCAAATGCTTGGTTTTCTCTCTTATTATAGGCCTTTCATCGCCAACTTCTCCTGCATAGCCCATCCACTCTATAGCCTGCTTAGTCCTCCATCCTCTGAGAACTCTGTTTCAGTCCCAGATGACAAGACTAGGAAGGGGGTGAAGAAAAGTAGAGGCCACTTACCTTCACGGTCACCCATTCAATGGACTAGCGCCCACCAAGAGACATTGAGTCAGCTCATAGATGCACTTACCAGACCTCCTGTCCTTGGGTACCCCGACTTTACAGAGCCCTTTGTGTTACATTGTGATGCATCCCAAGTTGGGTTAGGTGCAGTCTTATACCAGCGACAGCAAGGCAAGATGAGAGTTATAGCGTATGGTTCCCGCACCTTGAGTCCAGCAGAGAAAAAGTACCACCTGCACTCTGGCAAATTAGAGTTTTTGGCAATGAAGTGGGCCATATGTGAACGTTTCCGAGATTATCTGTACCATGCACCATCATTTGTGGTGTACACAGATAATAACCCGCTAACATATGTGCTCACTACGGCAAAGCTCAATGCCACAGGTCACAGAAGGGTCGTGGAGCTGGCCAGCTATAACTTCACCATTCGCTACCGTCCAGGCAAAACTAACACAGACGCTGATGGCCTGTCGCGAATGCCATTGGACATTGACAGTTACATGAAGAGCTGTACAGCGGAAGTGGGACAGGAAGCCATAAGTGCATCTATGGAGTCTGTGGTGGTGGAGCAGAGTTACCCTTGTCAAGGCATTGGTGTTATCCATGTTAGTGCTCTGAAGTTGATCAAAGATTCTAACACCAATCAGCCTCTTACGCCAGACGAGATCCGCACAGCCCAGGAAGCAGATGAGGTCCTGTCAAGAGTGCTCTGGTACAAGTCACAGGGTAGGAGACCAAGTAGGATCGAGGTGAAGTCTGAGGTTCCTGCAGTAACTACATTACTCAGGCAGTGGTTGAAGCTTCACGTCGACCAACATGGTATCCTGCACCGTAAAACAGCCCACCGAGAGCAGCTATTGGTCCCTAAAGCCTATCGTCCCCTGGTTTTCAAAGAGCTCCATAAAGACATGGGCCACTTAGGAGTGGAAAGAACACTTGACCTGATCAGAGACAGGTTTTACTGGCCGCAGATGGCAAAAGACATTGAACACTTTGTTACGGAAGAATGCGAGTGTCTCAAGAAGAAGAAGCCGAGTAAGCAGACCTGTGCTCCTCTGACCTCGATCCAGTCAACGTACCCGTTCCAACTGGTATCCATAGACTTCCTCCACCTGGAAAAGTGCAAGCATGGTTACGAATATATACTAGTTGTCATGGATCACTTCACGAGGTTCGCCCAAGCTTACCCGACAAAGAACAAAGCAGCTAAAACTGTCGCTGACAAGCTCTTCAATGACTTTGCACTCAAGTTTGGCTTTCCGACCAGACTTCACCATGACATGGGTAAAGAATTTGACAACAAGCTCATGGCACGGTTGAAAGAACTCTCAGGTATCCAGGGTTCTCATACGACACCCTACCATCCACAGGGTAATGGACAGGTGGAGAGATTCAACCGTACCCTGTTGTCCATGTTACGGACCCTGGAGGACAAGGAGAAGGAGGATTGGAAAGAGTCATTGGCTAAAGTTGTCCATGCGTACAACTGTACGAAGAGCGAGGCAACAGGCTACGCCCCATATTACCTCATCTTCGGACGTTCCCCTCGCCTGCCTATCGATCTGCTCTTCAATCTGAGAAAAGATGAAACTCATGTGGACTATGATGACTATGTTAGTTGCTGGAAGAAGAGAATGCAGGAGGCTTACACAGTA